CCGAGGGAAAAGATGGACAAGTACAAGAAAAAACGAGGAAAATGCAACAAGGAGAGATAGAGCGAGCGAAAGTGCAAATAAAATGGGGAAAACCGAGGCAATTTTTCAGCTTCATTAAGTAACCGCAAAGTTTGTTTTATGTGCGATGGGGATACAAGCCAGGCCAGAGAAGGGGAGAAAGGCAGAAAAATGGCGAAGTGAGGGATACATATGAGAAAAACAGAGCAGGGAGTGCAACAAAAGTTAAAAGTCTGGTCATTAGACAACGTAAACAAAATATTAAGCATACGTCAAGTGGTCCAGAGTGAAAATTAATGGATCAAGGAGTAGGGAGCTAGAGCATTGAAAATGGAAACAAATTTATCAAGCAAACACATTTAGTCGAGCAAGAAAAGTGTTCATATGGAAGGATGATTAGACTTCATATAAATAGAAACATCATATATTGACGTTCAACAATCCCCCGAGCAAATAAAAAGATTATCAATGCCATCCCCCCAATGCATTGCAATGCCAAGAGCTGCATTAAGTATACGCCAGACCTATATGCAAAATTTCTGGCAGACTCAGAATTCGAATCACTAATAAGCCGACCAATACTCTCCATTTTTGGTAGAGCACTGCCAAGGCCCAAACAGTTATGGCCCTGGGACATTGACAAATATCCAAAGCACCAGGAGCAGAGCCACAGCCATAGCCAAAGCCATAACCAGAATAGACTTGACCAAAGAAGATTGGCTGCATTTTGTGTTAACTCAGCAACAATTGTTGGAATTCGAATTGGAAGGTGCTTGCTAACAATTTTCAGATTGTTCGGCTTGGTTCGGTTGAGGCTTTGGCTGGGCTGCAGCTTTGGCTTGCTGCCAGGCAGGGAGGAAATTAATATTTATTTGGCATACAAAGCGAGGCAGTCGCTGTCCCCTGTGGAGGCATATTCTGGCGTTTTGCTATTTAGCATGCCTTCTTAGCCACCGTTTCGGTCGTCGCCCAGAGGGATGTAAAGGCTGGAGGCGGAAAGCATGGCAGCCATTAAGCTGCCCATCGGCCATTTGCCACATCTCTGCCAAGTTGTTGCCAATTGCTTGGAACTGGGTTAAGTAATTTGGGATTCCATCTAAGATAGTTTTTGTTCTCCATACACAAACCCCAAACACTTTCCTGGCATAATTATTGCCTTTCCCTGTCTGTACATCCTTCTATGGCACATACATAGGACGACATGTGGTGCGGTTGAATGCATTTGGCTAATCAACAGTTGGACGGAAGAGGCGGAATGGCCCACAATGGCTATATTATCTGCCACCATATCAGCAGATTTCGCCGCTGGCGGGTCCTAGGAATCGGAAATAGGGCGGGAGCCCATTGTTTTTCTCCCTCGTGTGCGTGTACAATTTAAATCAATTATGCGTTTGGGGCCTAACCATATCATTTTGCAAACATGTTGATGAACTGGACGGGAAGAGTCACAGTAATGAGAGCAGAGCGCCATTTCAGGAAAATTAATGAAACGTGCAATTTATGGGCAGACTCCCATTCTCTCTGGTAAAAATAAATCCTTCCAGAGCAATATCGGTCCCAACACCGACTGCAGGTACCACTATGCCCCTGTATTTCTGTCTCTGTCTCAGCCAATGCATTTTCTCTGACATTTGATTTAGTACGCATAATATTTATTCTGAAAGGAGGACAAGAATGAGGAACTGATGGAGGAACAGTACCAAACGACAGGGCTGGACCAGGACCAGTGCCTGGAGCGCAATAAATGAAGGTCCCCAGCACAAATAATAGACAACTGCAAACGTTTTTGGGGACACATGTTTATGTCCTTGACAAAAAGTAAACACAAAAGAAGAGGCACCAAATCAAAAAATAAAGCCAGACGACGAAGTTGAGTAAGAAAAAGAAAACAGACGCAGCCTTGCCCCGGCTTTAAGTTGATGATGCCGCAGTAACAGTGGCATATGGAAGGCCGACCCGAAGCCCTTGACTGGCGGACATATATTCAGGAAGGATATTGATTGATTTATTATGACGCCTCCGGGTATCCACCTACTCGCTTGAAGTCCCTCAGCAGCTTCACAAAATCAATGTTGTATAGGTTGATTGGCTGCTTGAAGCTTGATTGAAAACAATGACTAGTCCTGCAGCCCCTTTCCACTTCACAAAACGAAAAAAAAAACCGTAGAACCGAATAAAACATAAAAAAATAAAATACAGTAAAATAAGAGAGGAACATTTGCTGCCACAAGGCCAAGTCTGGACAGAGAAACTCGCGATACCATTTCTGGGCAGGAATCTTTCATACATCTTTCTAGAAACTCGTTTATAGACACACTGAGAAGAGGAGCAAAGGAATTACTTAGTATTTTGTCTTGTTTTCGATTGTTCTTTGTCAGCCGAGCATAAATATGACATTAATGAGGATGCACACGTCAAAAATACAGTCAAGCCCAGATAAAAGGACCAGAATGTGGAAAACAAAACGAGCAGTTTTGTTAGGATTTTCTGAGATTGGTCAGCTATCATCCTGGTTAATTTTGAGAGCACTTCAAAAATAATCAAATGTTAGCTTTTTAACGAGATATTTTTTTTCGGTGTCTCAGCTCAAGGCTATAAAATCGACTGCTACCAGAAAAAGTAGTCCAATAAGAATTTTTGTTTGGTTCGCTACAAAATATAAGAAGATTGCCCGGAATTCTGAAAAGTGCAGCCTAGCAAATCCTGCAGTAAACACTTCTAATGGTTCATTCGTTCCATGCCCGCCTCTCTCTCTTTCTCTTTCTATACCTCTCTTTCTCTTTCTCTACGAACACATACTTATATATAAAAGAGTTTGATTTATTGCCCTTCCCGCTTTAATCGCCCACTTGACACTCACCGCTTTGTGGCTCTTAAATCGGCGTAAGTTGACTGAACTCTGCAAATTTTTAAAGATGACGACGATGGCTTATTCTCTTCTATCTATTCTGTCCGCACTTCTCCCTCCTTCTCCGATCTTATCTCCTCTAGTACTGAGTGCTGACTTTCGATATTAGTCAATTTGTACCATATTTGATCGAAAGATCATGTGCCGAAAGGCAGCTAGGTTGGTTATTTGTGTGGTTCTCTGTTGTTTGTATTGTTTACGGTTAGAGCTAGAAAATTAATTTTGTAATATATGTAATTAAGTCCAACACATATTTTTATTTTTTTAGACCCCACCTTCTCCGCCACAACCCCATGCCGTACCGTCACGTGTAAAGCGATGATGTAGAGCGGATTTGCACCTGCAACTTTGTAGTCTAACAACAACTACTCCTCCTCCCACTCTGCCACACACTCGGACCACTTCCCAGCCGTGTTGGCATTTAAAAGTTAGAGCTCAGTGTTGCTAGCACAAGGTGGTGGGGGTGGGTGGTGCTGAGTGCCTTGCATAAATCACTGGGGGCGCCACGCAGTATGCAACCTTATTTTTAGGGCAGCATTGTAAATACCCGCTGCACCTTTATGGCTCAAAAAACCTGAAAACGATGCCAGGTCTTTCTGTTTTTTAACCACACGCATTTGCCAAAGTTTTCTGTGCTTCAGAGTAGTAGTTCCAGGTGATGTCTAGGCACCTCGTCTGTCGTTGACACCACTACGGGGCCAGGGCCAAACCAACAAAATCCTCGACTGCGGTTTATTAACCCCCTGTGATCGATCGCCGTGGAAGGAATAAAAGTTGGCATTAGTTGCAAGTTCTTCCGCAGTCTTGAAACTTTACAGCTGCCACTAAATAATCAGGAATTTGGCGGCAGATCCAACCTTGGATTTGTGGCACAAATTTTGTGCGGAATGAGAACCTCAGAAAACCTTAACCTTCTTTAGGCGGACCTTATTCTCTAAGAATATAAAAATCTTCTAAAACAAATATTCTCTTTTGAAGTAAAAGCAATGAAAAAAATAATTTTTTGTGCACGCAAACATATCTGAACTAGTTGGTTAAGCAGTACTAGCCGACTGAAATATTCATGTAAATTGAAACTGAATCGGTTTAGCAGAATCTTCCAAATTTGGAGCCACGCACCAAAAGAACCAGGAAAGAAAATTTGCATCTCCATGTACAAAAAAAAAAGGAAAAAAGCACGCATGCTTCTTAAATGCAGCTGGAGCCTGGCCTTTTCCACGACTTGTAAATTGCATTTGCAGCCAATTTATACAAAATTAAATTGAATTTACGCTACGCTTGCACAAAATATCAATGAGAAATATCATGTAGAGAAACAACAAAAAAAGCAAGAGGTAGAGAGAGAGAGAGACAGAGATTTAGAAAGTAGTAAAAGGCATGGCCATGGAAATGGAAGGAAGCAAAAAGTCAGCTGCATTCTATCAAAATTCAAATAGTATTTTCTTTGTTCGTCTCCCGCTGTCATCTACTTGTTTAGCATGCAGCATGAAGCAGCCAGCAAAAAGTGACTTCCAGGACTTCCCACATCACACCACACCCATCCCCCTACTTGGCGGTTGAAATTGAGAGCGTGAACTGGAATCAAGGAAACTTGGACGACGAACAGTAGCAGTCCTTCTGTTTGTTCCACGCATTTCTCTGCACTCGGGAAACTGGCAAATCACAGAAGAGCTGCTCAACATACATACGTGCAGCAAATCAAAACTTCAAACAGCAGTGGGCGAGTTCCCCTATCGCACTTAATATGCGTTGAGAGCTGCAGACATATCATTTAAAGTATCTAAAGTCCAAGCTAAAAGTTCACAAGTATAATCAGCTTCAATACAGTCTTTCTATAGCTTTCTACATGATAAACAGTTAAGAACAATATAAAGAATATGAAATAGTTAGCTGTAGCTCTTATAGCTCTAAGTACTTTTTGAGTGTATGGTATACAAATGCAGCCATTAAACAAATTATTGGGTTAATTTGATTATATTTTGATTTTGTACAATTATCCTTCCAAGTGCATTCACATTCTTTTTAATATATTTACGCACTTCCACTAATCTCCAGCTAATTCCCATCTTCGCAGACTTTGCCAGTTGAAATGTAACCAACACCAACTTCAAAGGCATATATAATTGCGCCTAATTGCCTTTAATTGTTCAGAACGGAAGTCCAAAAACGCCAGGACAATGAGTACTAATTCAACTATCAGTGGAAACATAATCTTTCATCACCGCAGCACAAGTGCATGAATTGTGAGAATAAAAAAAGAAATAAATAAAAAACATTTTTATAAACTATCTTATATTTAGGTTTTTTCGGAACGGAGCTTATTCTTCACAACTTATATGTACTGCATCCGCATGACCAGACCTCCAACGGCAAGCTTCATGAAAAGCTTCAAGGGAAAGTGTTCGTACCATCCCACATAGCGGTCCTCCACAACCCCACAGTTAATTAATTGTAATACGACGAAAAAATTACAGAAACGCATACAAATCACGAATATAACTAGGGAATCAAACGACAAACGGAACCGAAATTCGAATGATTCCTTGCGTAGACAGGAAGATATCTTCACAAACTGTCAGTTCTTGATGGACCCAGAGAACTTCTCTGAGGAATGCCTGTAGCTTTTGCTCAATCCTATTCGCCTATGAAGCGGTAAGTTAAGGAGAAATCTCCATAAATATTATATGGTTACACCAAAACTAACTCATTTTTTCTCCTCTGCGCAGCTGTGGAGTGCCAGATGGATCAGATGTCCGATGAGTGCTGCGATGGATGTTAAGCCACACCGGCGGCGATCTTGACAGCACAGAGGGCTGCAGCAGGGAGTGCGTTTTGCGCTCCCACTGTCCACCCGGGGAGAAAATCAACGAGCTCCGATGGCATGATCCAAGGGACGGCTTAGACTGCTTTCTTCGAGGGAGAAATTCATCGAGTTGGCACTTGCGTGGATAGATACAAGCTAAATGAGCCGCGTTAACAAGGAAAACTATCGACCTAGTCCGAGCTTCGCTTCAACAGCTCAAAGCTATTGTTCGCTGACCTTACCAAGTGCGCTCCCGACCTACTACCTGGAGAAATTCAAATAACACATGCTCATACAAAACTGAAGGCTATTCTTCCAGCAGAACCGATTATTCCATATTCTTGATTGTAAAGTGATTATTACCTGCCTCTTGTGCGCTCTCAGCATTTTCCGTCGCGTCGATCAAGTCTTTTTCAGCCGTCAAAATAAAAAAACATTTGTTTTTGCCGAAATTTGTTGCTTCCTTTGTTACTGAGGGATTTTTTTTGTCACACACTGTACGTGCCCGATTGTGCGGGCACAATCTGTCCGGATTTCCGACAAATGCGGGAATAAGAACAATTAGAAATGCCGCCTGTGTGTGTGTGCCAGGTGAAAAACTGGAAGTTCTCAGAGAACGTCTGCCAGTCCAGCCTGCGACTGCGCCCTCTGCCAGAGCGTCTTCGAAATATTCGATGTTTTGAGCATAACCAAACATCACACTATGGATATGACCTTCAATTACCCTGGAGCCGCTGGTTCTCAGTACAGATTCCGGTTGTAGCATTAATGCGCGTTTGTGCGCTAGAAGAGATAAGAGGTAAGCTAATAAATGTTTTTAAATCTACTAATTAGTACCAGCAGACCCGAAAAATATGATCCTCTGCATAGAGGAGGATGCCCTGCCCTTACGATAAGAGAAAACAGTAAATCAGGAGGTTTATATTATGATTGAAATCAGTACTCACAGAACTCCAGAGTTGAATGCTTATTGGGCGATAACCGGCGATAATCATATCCGGTCACAATATTGAAAAGTTCTGGTAGGCTGCAAATAAGCTCCTGCGAAATCAAATCCTAGTGCTGAATACGCATGGTGGTAGGCGATTTAGGTGGCGCTCTGGAAGGCAATGTCAGATAGGCCCTCTGGTCGACAAGGTTTCGACAAGATACAGTATTATCTGATCGACTATACTGATCGCAGCTTTTATTCCCTGTCGTGTGAAATTGGCTCAAACATGGTTACACTTGCCTGATACTTATGCCCCACAGCGTTTTGAGTAAAATGTAAGTAAATTTATAGCAGCACTTGCAGAAACACGTAATATTTGCCTCTGACACGCAACCTTGGAAGAGGGGCTGTAGAAGGCTGCACTTTCAGAGTGCAATGTTGTGGCACCTTTGGATAATGCACTTCACTCCGTCCTGCGCCGTCTCAACCGGACCTAGTCCTTTGTCGGGCTGCTTATGAAAAGTTTGCGGCTTTCTGATTCCGATTCTGGTTCTGATTTTGCACTTAACCTGCTCCTTGGCTCGGCCTGACTTGCATTTGCATTTCAATTATTAATTGTTATTGTTAGTGGTTCGCTTTTTACTGCTCATTGTAATACCTCTGGAAACTTAGGACAAACTTCGGTACCTACAATTCTTATATGGTATACGACTTGTAATCCCTCTGGAAACCGAGAACAAGCTCTGATGTATACCGCTCTTAGATGGTATTCGAATTGTGTACAGAAACTTTATAATTCAAAACCATAGTTACGCTGATACTTTAAGGTAGGTCAAACTGATTAGCGGGTATCTAGAAGTCTTTACGCTTGTTTTCTTGATTCTCTCTTACACTTGGGCCAGGGCCAGGGAAAGGGAAAGGACGAGGCCCCGGACAGGAGGCGGCCATAAAAATGCGTGCCATGCAACTGCATACGCGGGACATAATAATAATAACGACAAAGACGATGACGTTGTGCGGTTGACATTAATTTATTTACTGCGCTCGGAGAATGGCGAGCACCAACAATAAGCGAAGGGTGGAAAATGAGAGGTGGGCAAACCGCAAGGTCTGCTCTTTTCTTTCAGGAAAATTTTGCACATTCATTGCATTTTATTTATTGTATTATTCAACAATTTACGTAAGTTAGGCGACGCGAATATGAAATTATCCTTTTCTGCGGACCTGAGTGGAGAAAGGGGAAGAGGGGCGCTCCTAGTGCCAAGCTAAAGTACCTGCCTGAGTTATTTTTCCAGCCTCTTGCCAAGCTGTGTATATTTAATTTGTCTGTTTTCCCCGCTCTGGAGGCTGTAGAGAAATATGATATATGCACTCTCCCTGCTACCATTTCTGAAAGTCTGTGAAGATTTGAAAAATTTTCCTAAAATTCCAACCCATTTCGGAGGGAGAGTAGGTTCAGAAGGCAAGCAGGAAACTATTTCTACATCTGCCATTGCCGAGGAAATAGTCAATTAAATAGTTTGACTTTGAATGCCATGGTGTTGGAAGTTCATATTAGACTCATAATTGGGGGAACTTTCAGCAGAAATTCTTTGAATATCCGGGGGATAGCTCTGGAAATACATTTAGTTACGGTAGTCGGTAGTTGGAAAGGAGCTGACGATGGAAATACAAATAATCGAAAGGTTAAAGCAGTACAGATCATCAACAGTTTATCCTGAGTAGATCAACTAAAGATATTATGTCTATCAGAAGGAGTTTCCTCACTGAAAAATGTAATGACGAACCCAAAAGCAACAAGCCAACAGCAACAAGTTCCTAATTGTATCCGAACTTAATCCACCCCCGACTTTAATGGGTATTCCATATTCAGTGCAAGTCATAACGAGGGGAAAAGTAATCTTAAGCAGGAAATGAGAATCAAGCTAGCTAGCACTCTGTTATTTAAAAGAGAGACACAAGGACCCAATCGATATTCAATCTTCCTAAATACCATACCATACGATATACGTTGCAGGGCTGCCGCCGGATGTCGCTTAAAATCTAAAATTCAAAAATCGTTTATTTGCTCAAGAGCCGTTAAAATGTACTGAAAATGTACGGCGCACTAGGAGAGTACGGAACCAGAACGGCACCGGAGCTGGACTCGGCAAAAAGTCAAACATGGCCATTTGTTGCAGGTTTCAATTTCAGTTGATTGCATACACAGAAAGAGACTGAGACAGAGGGAAGAGGGCATGCCATTTGACGAAGAAATTGTTGTAGATATTTGGACCTGCAGTTGAGCGCAAAAAGGAACACAGACGTAGGGAATCGCTCCTTCCCTTGGCTGCTCAGACATATGTAGAGCTCACATACAAAAATTATAAGGATATACGCTACGTGCAGTCAATAAATAAAACAGTTTGTGCAGTAGGAACAGTAGGGAGCAGTAGCTCCAGGAGCAGCACAGTCTTCACACTGAGAGGAAACCTCACAGCAACCAGTTTCCAAATATGTAACTGAATCGGTTCTTGGCGTTCTTTCAATCAAAAATCAAATATAAATTTCATGAAATGGTACTATTTGTATCTTTTTTGTATCAGGCATAGCCTATAAATATTTTTATACTCTTTTCCTCTACTTCGTATATTTTATTCTATAATTATTTTTGAATGAATAATACCTATTTCCTATTTTTGGCAGTGTAACATTCTTGAAAGAGGCAAAGACGCCGGCTGAGAACGAACACGTTCGATTTAATACAAATGCGCTTAGGTACGGGTCGGAGGATTACCCACTCATGGGTGGTATTCCAGAGGACGCTTTAAGTCTTCGAAGGCAGCAACAGCTGCTGCTGTAGCAACCCATCTCACATCACAGCTGCGCTTACAAAAGTCATTCCATAAAGTCATTGCTGCATCTGCTGGTCTGCATGGTCATTAATTTGGACCAATTTTTGTTGGGTCAAAATAAATATGGACGCACTCGTTTTATTGTCTCTCTAATCAGAGGTGCTCGCTCCCGTGAGACAGTCCAAACATGTGATTTATGAATGCATTCTCGCAATTCCCAAAACTAACAGATAACACAGCTATGACCGAATCTCCAGTAACCTCTATTTGCGTATATTTGCTGTCCAAAAGAAAAACTGAAAAACAGAATAAGAAATCCTTTGTTGCCAGGGTAATATTGTGAGCTGCGTCAAAAGTCGCGGCTTTACTTCATACTCGGTACTCTGTCAGTGTCACAAAAGGGAAAAATTTAATTTTTGCCAAACAAAAATTTCATAAAAAGTTGAGCCGCTGAGGAAATTGTTATTTAATAAAATTAGATTTGATCTTTTTCAATTAAAAACGAAATTTTTCTCTTATATCTATAATTTTTTTCTATTTTCACATCAAAACCAGTCATTTCATCGCTTGCCTCTGCCAGATGGTGCACACCGCACCAGGAAGAGTGAGTGAGAGGGAGGGCAAAATGGAAAAATTCTGAAACAAACTAAATTCAGTGTGATATCACAGTGGTCTGGAAACAAAATTTTGTTTGCCCTAGGTCTTATATGTATACTTTATGGGGCCGGAAATGCTTCCTTCTGGGTATTATACAAAAGCAATATCACCAAAAAACTCATATATCCCTAAACTTTTCAAGTACCGGGTATTAATTGCCAGAACCCGGAATGAGAATGAGAAGCAGCACCCCAGAAATTCGAACTATCCGATGCGAGGAAGGTTCTAGCTTTTGCCGCCGAGTGAATTGCCATTTTTGAACTTAAGACAGACGCACGCATGCTCGTTTTGATAGAGAGAGAGAGAAGGGGAGAGAGAGAGATAGAGAGACCCCATTAGGTTTAGCATTGAGTTCAAAATACGTAGGAAATGCGTATGGGAAATGCAACAGCTGCATATTGTTTGATAAATAAATAGTAAAATTGCACACATAGCCACACATCCAGAGGGAACTAAGACATGCACGGACTTGAACGTGTACTATTGTGCTCACAAAAATATACTCTCATGTTGGGCCTCGCAGAACATTCTGAATGTATAGTACTTACTCTGGATGATTTCTGGATTCCAGGGTTAAGGTGCGATAGAATTGTGTAGGTCTCTGTAGAGGCAATTATCATTTAAAGGAAGCATAATGCGAGGGTCTTGGACCGAGCTTTGATTCCAGATCGAGTCAAAGACAAGTTCTGGGACAACTTCGTGCGAAGAAACAGGGCTTCCCACCTTCCAAAGGAACCAAAGTGTGCTCCTATTTGGTTGAACGCATCTGTAGGAATATTGCAATAATGTTTTGGTGCAAGCTGTTGTGCGATGTAAGGAAATGGTAGATGGTGGGAAAAAGAAACACCGAGCTTGTGGATGTTGATTTCCCAATTTGTACACCCGTTCTCCTCGCCACTTATTTAACCCATCTCACACAGTTGTCATTTCATAAAATAAAACCTTTGTTGTCTATAGCAGTTTGATTAAACTCAACGCAAATTGATGACAAAAATGTTCATAGAGCCACTGTTAAAGGCTGCTGGAGTGCCAGAGATAATTACAAGAGAAAACAAGGCGAAACTCGGAAGGGCTCTCCGTATCTTCATGACCGCCAACCCCCAAAATTTAAATGTTTGCGACAATGACAAACAAATGTTAACAATGCGCAAATTGTTAAAACTTGCCACAGGAAGAGCAGGAAAAGTAGAAGAAAGCTTGCCACTAATGCAATTATTATGGTACTATAAGAGATATAGAAAGAACACAAAATGCTGGAGTACCGCGGGCCAATGGGGTTGATACACTAATAGTCAGACGGCAATACAGACGGACATGGCTCTACCGACTATGACTCTATTATACTGTGAACGTCATTGTAGGCTATATTTTCCCACGATAAAAGACGAATAAATTATTTGCGTTATACATAATACGATCAATTAATTTTACTCATTGCGAAGGCAAATACATCTAACCCCAAGAAACATGTATATAATAAATGTAATAAGTCCCGAAACAAGGAAATAATATTTTTAGGTTCCCGTATTCAGGTCCAAATCATTCATTGGAAGTTCGTAAAACCGGACAGAAATGTAGTGAGAGTAGAACAGTGTGAAAGAGGTAGAGAGGCATAGCAAAGCACGTGGCTTTTTTAATTCTTACACGCACACATATTCGCATACCTACATATAGTACATGTTTGTTTGTGTTTGTCTGTGGAAAAAGTTGCACATAAGTTTCCCCGTCGGCTTTTTGTTGCTTTTGTTAATTTAACTTGTTGTTGCTAGTGTGTTTTTGCTGTTGCTGTGAGAGTTATGGTTATTTTTGCTGCTATTACCATTATTGTTGAGGCTGTCAGACCGCCAGCCTTACCCCTACCTACCCCTACCAATACCCCGTGCCATTATTCTGAAAGAGGGTAATAAAACTTGAGCTGAACAGACCTAAACTCAAATTATACTAGCAAGTGCTGAGAGGTTATACAATTAGTGACCTCCTTGAGTATATTGTGCCGGTCATGGAAGTGTCTGTGTGAAATATAGAGGCAGCAGGCGAACGTCGAAAACATCAAAAAGTTCGTTCTTGTTCAAGCGAACTAGAAATATTCATCAGCTCAACAGTCAATAGAACAACATCTAGCTTTAGGCCTCCAAACCTGACCAAAAGACAAGCGCCCCATCGAGGCAACCATGTCCCAGCTCACGAGGCTCATTGGGCATGGTGCACAGCAGCGCCCAGTTGCTCGGCTTTTGTCGCATAGCTTTACTACGAAATCAAACGCAAGATGCCTTTTCGATGGTATCATCTGGAGCCGGAGAAACCGCGACCTGGCACCTCCCCAGTGGACGACAACGGCAGCCACACGATATCTTCCAAGCCCGTGGCTGTTCACAAGAAAAAGATGCCTTAGCCACAAGTCCGCACAGCCGACCCCAGCACCAGTTGCCACCAACAACTCAGATATCAAGGCTTCTTCCACAATGGCCACCGACCTCTTTGGGGATGCAGCCAACATGGGGCTGTTCGCAAGGTTCAAGCACATGTACAAGCAGTATTGGTATGTGCTGATCCCGGTCCATTGCGTAACCTCGGTCGGCTGGTTCGGCGGCTTCTACTATCTTTCGAAGTGGTAAGCTTTAAAGACTTCCCCAAACTCTGGATTCTCAGTTTGCGTCTTGTCTCGTCTCGTCTTAGCGGAGTGGATGTGCCATCGCTGCTGCAGTACATGCATCTTAGCGAGACCATTATTGAAAGGGCCCAGTCTTCCGATATGGGACACTATGCCATCGCTTTTCTGTGCTATAAAGTGGCCACTCCCTTACGATACGCTCTCACATTGGGCGGCACCACGGTGTCCATCAGGTATCTGGTGCAATGGGGCCTTATCAAGCCGATTCCCACCAAGAACGAACTGATTAAGAAGTACGAGGAAAAGAAGGCAACGCGCGCTAGTGCCAAGGCGGCAAAGAACAAAAAAGATGGGACCAAATGATCATTTGACAATGGCAATACTGCCCTCTGGCACCACGCTTAGAGCCTTGAAAAATCTTAAATATTTTGTTTATTATATATATTTTGCATTAATCTCTGTTTGAGGTCGCCCCAGAGGCACAGACAGACACACCTTCCCATACACACACACACACACACACACACATATGTATACACCCACAAACGTGGAGACAGAGAAAAACTCGAGGCAGTAAATAAAATGTGGTTATATATTTGTAGATTTAAGAGTGAGTTGTCGCAAAAAAATAACTAAAATAATGAAAACCAATTTCTTGTTTGCTCCGTCACAGATATCAATTTTAATAAAGAACTAGCCGTATATAGCGTCTTAATTAAAGCAACTTTAACGAGGGGAACGTTGTGAGTTACTGCTGCGACCGCAACTCTACATCTATTCCCGATACATAGTCAGTATGGCTACATTAAACGACAAAGAGTGCGTGCGAGAGAGACAGAAAATCAATCAGAACGTGTCGACGGGCGCTGCGTAGCCACTGCAAATTGAGTTATTACTTTTGGCTATATTAATAATCCGATCTGATTCAGATTCGGCAAGATTCGGCAATTTGGTAGATATGGTTGATTCTCTATGATTGTGCGTTTTTAATTTTCTCCTATCTTCAAAATTGTGGTTGCCACAGCCTTTCAAATCTCTGGCACTGTTTTATACCGTGTACTCCTATGGCGCAAAGGTGCGGTGGTCCCTTCCCAGGATAGACATTTCCAGAACTCACTCGCATAGCTTAAAATCAGTTAAAATCATACTTATAAATCAGTAACCTCTAGTGTATCTTTTTAAGAAGAATTTTTTAAAGTTTTTGTGACATTTTCGAATGCATTTATTGCAAGGCGGCCGTGCTGTGGTAACGCTAATGCGGCATTCATTAGTCGTAATTACTGCCCGTCACGACCCACATGCCACTTGGTTCAGAAGGACTTTTGGCAGTGTCTCTGGGGTCCTGTTTGTGTTATGTGTTTCTTTGGCAAAAAGTTGTTTGTTCGGTGCCAACTATAATAATTTCGGAGCATAATATCCTTTGACAGGATACACTTTCGCTAAGCCTCAAAGAGCAGAGTTCGCTACTTCCTGGGGATGCTATTCAAATTGTCATCAAATATCATGAAATTGTTTTTGGCACGTTGCGAATTGTCGCTTTTTTCGGGAAGCGAAGTGGATGACAGCCCTTCGAAGTGGATGCCAAAAGTGTGCCGAAGGAGTCCTCCAGCACTTCACTGAAAGAAACAATATCTAAGGCCTGAAGAAAGCTATTTTTCTTCTCCCAAAAGCTCTCTCAGTGTACTTCTCCCCGTAAGCCGTAGGCCTTCTTTGTTTATGGCTTGTCCCAATAAACAACATTTATGCATGTTTACAATTTAATATGTTGGGCGCACATGTGTAAAAAAAACAATTTGCGCGGCATTATGGCAGTAGCAAAAAGCGGCCCGGGTCCTGGGAAAGGAAGGATAATAGCTTTGGCGGCTGCTTCCAAATTGTTGCTTGCACTTGGAAGGTAGCCAAGGAATAAAGACTCCTGCTGCTCCTCCTGTTCTAGCTGTTCCTGCTGCTCATGTTGTTGCATTGGCCACAATTGCAAGCCGCTTGCGGCAAAGACATGGCCAGAACATCGCGTGCGTGTTTGTCATTTTAATGATGGGCAGTATGGGTGTTGAATCCTGGAATGCACAGCATGCAGCGTGCACTGTCTTCCTTTGTTCTTTAATGAGCTGTAATCGATATTAATTATCCCAATGAGCGAGCTCTGAATACCATACAAATATATGTATGTATATGTCTTACAATCTGCTGTGATCAGACCACTGCACCAGTTCCTCCAATTCCAGAACGTACTTTTGATGTTTTCTAGTGTACAACGAGTTCTGCCAATGGAAGAGCTTCTGATTTCTGTGCGTTCAATATAATTACTATACCACAATACTCTCTACTGACTCTCAGTGTATCTGAGTGTTTGCTTACTGAAAAGGATTCATCGGTGTGACTTCGCAAGCAGCTTTTTGTAAAAAAATCCAACTTTACCAAACTCTTAATGCATTTCGTGCCACTTTTTTCCTTTTTATGTAGTCTAAGTTGCATCGGCAAATGTTTCTGGCCTTTAACGCGCAAGTTCTATGAAAAATTGCCATTTAATTATGCTAATTGATACTTCGACATTTGAAATTGATTACCAATTACACATGATGGTAAGCGAAGACACTAGGAGTGTCCGGGAAAGCCCTGCGGTTTGGGCTTCACAGGAAAAAATTTTATATGGAAATGGAAATTTCTCAGAAGTTCTAATAAAGTATTGCAAGATTTTCTTAAAAGTTTTATGATTTTTGAGCATACTGAGGCTTTAGATTAATGACTCTATTCGATGGGTTCTGGGCGTATTCTTGACATAAATCAAAATAATAAAAAAAAAGCAATTCGCGAATGCCTGAGGTGTTGCGCCCCGTAAAATTTTGTGGAATTTGCTGCAATTTACAACAGTCGCAGATAATATTGACAAATGACTTGCCTAATTAATTACCAGATGGCAGGTACAGAGCCCGTGAATCAAACACCCTTCCCATTCTCCCCAACGAGTAGTAGGCATTTAACTTTGGGGAAACTTTCGACATTGACGGAGGAGAAACGGTAGCGGCAAGCGGAAGCTAGGGTCGGGGATGGTGGCAACAATTTCCTCTTACTCATTTGTTTCGGTGTTGGGGTTGGGGTTGAGGCTTGGGCTTGGCGCTTCGGATTGCCGCAGGGTGGTGTTCGTTCGCCTAACTAAGCTGCTGGTAAATAATTCATTAATTTTCGCTTATGATTGTAATCCGCTTTTGTCGACGGCCAAAGACTCAGGAAGAGGTCGAGCATCCGAGGCCGAATGCGAATCCTTTTGCTATTTGCACAAGAGCACGAAACTTTAGTAAAACATAGCGGCAAATGGCAAGGCCCTCGGCTTCAGAACCCCCAACCTACCCGATACCCCTTTGGAAAGGCCACCCTGTCTCTACCTGTCGCAGCTCCAGTCCAAGGGGCAGCCCTGCCTGCCCCCCAGTCTGGCTTCTGGAGAACTGAGTGCAAACATTTACAATTTCAAATTTCGACTATTGTTGACTTAAGCCAACAGTAAATGTGGGTATGCCCCTCTCCTTTGTGTGTGGTTGTATGTGTGTGTGCGAATCCCTTTAGTTTGTGGGTGTGTTTGCATTGGGGAGCTATCTTTTTTGTTTTAAGTCTGAAAGTCTATGCTGCAGAATAGCAAACTAGGCATTCGTCTAGCTGTGCCAGGGTTACAGGGGTATGATGGGGCGCAGGCCCCGAAAGGCAATGAAAGACAGACACTCAGCCAAACACCACTCAACGCAATGGAAGAGTATGTTCGGCTGTGTGCGGCTTTCAAGGTCAAAAGTTTTGGATCAACTTTCCAGCCTAAGCGACTAAGCAAACCTGGCTAAACCGACACACACATGATGGCAGGCAGGCATCAAGAAACGGGAGCTGAATTGGTCATGCGGGCACACCAAGATACAGGTACACTCCCCAGACAGAGATACATGCTAAGCTTCAAAGAGTGGGTCAGAGCATCATGAGGGTTAAGTAATTTTCAAGCTTGACTGATTTCATTTGTTAACTCTTGGCTGCCATTTAAGAACTGTGGTTAAAAAAATAATTTTTCATTTTTTCCATGTCTCCGCTTAATTCTACTTACATCCGGCTCTTCCCTCTTCTCCACCGAACCACCGACGATATGCTTATTGTGACTGGCTCTTTTAAATTATTTTTTTACCATTTTCTTTTTGCTGCGCGAGTTGATAACCCTTTTGGTTCAATAAGAAAAGCGCATAAATGCATTTTTTCCCATGCCACCTACAGCCTCAACCTTAGCGCCTCCATCCTCCGCAATTAATTGAAAAATTGTTCAGCCGGTGAACCAATTTCGCTTTAAGTTGTCACCCTTTCTTTTTTTGTCTGTCTTTTAGAGTAATTTCGTTTTTTTACCCTTTGTATTTACATATTTTTGAGAGAAAATACTATAACTGGAGAATCCGGAAGCATTTACTTGTGTTTTAATTTAAAATATTCTAGATTATCATCGCCTTAAGGGAATATCGCACCTATTTCAATGTTCTTGTACTATCCGATTTCCGTATCGGTTTCCCGAGACTCCATCATCTCCCGACTCATATTGATAGCAATAGAGGATAAATGTGGGCATGTGGTCTGCTCCGGGTGTTCCTTTAAGAGTATGCGAAACCTTGAGCCGTAAATATAGCCTATAAACGAGGTGGAACGTTGTGAGTTGCTGCGGACACCGCAACTCTACGGTTATACCCGATACTAAGTCAGTATGGCTCTCCTCCGGCAGACGCCGCTTATATTAAACGACACGACAAAGAGAGCGTGCGAGAGAGACAGAAAATCAGTCTGAGCGTGACGTCACGCGCTGCGTAGCCACTGCAAATTGATTTGTTTCCATTGGCTATAAAAATGATCTGATCTGATCCAGATTCAGCAATCTGATAGATATGGTCGTTATCTATGATTCTGCGTTTTTAGTTTTCTCAAATCTGCAATATTGTGGATGCAACAGATTTTCGTCCTTTGTGGGGGCGGAAGGGGATGGGGCGAAATTTTGAGATAAAGGTTTTATAGTGAGATCTAACAGAAGTGCGGATACCAGATTTGGTTACTCTAGCTTTAATAGTCTCTGAGATTTGTGAATATCCCCAGATTTGCATCCTTTGCGGGGGCGGAAGGGGGTGTGGCGAAATTTTGAAACAAACTCGTCTCGGTCCGATATATTAGGAGTGTGGATACCAAATTTGGCTGCTCTAGCTTTTATAGTCTCTGAGATCTAGGCGCTAATGTTTTACTCTAAGCAAAGCCGCCTATGCTACCTGTGTGTTAGAGAGAGACAGGGCGAGAAAAAATGAAATTGTTTTCTTGATGCTGGCTATAATAATAATACGATCGAATTCAGATTCTGCAGTCTAAAAGATATGGTCATTCTCTACGATTCTGCGTTTTT